AAATGGGAAAGAAGAAGTAAAACTGTCACTGTTTGCAGATGACATGATACTATACATAGAGAATCCTAATCATGCCACCAGAAAACTACTAGAGCTAATCAATGAATTTGGTAAAGTCACAGGATATAAAATTAATGCAGAAAAATCTCTTGCATTCCTGTACACTAATGATGAAAAATGTGAAAGAGAAATTAAGGAAGCACTCCCATTTACAATTGTAACAAAAAGAATAAAATACCTAGGAATAAACCTACCTAGGGAGACAAAAGACCTGTATGCAGAAAACTATAAGACACTGTTGAAAGAAATTAAGGATGATACAAACAGACGGAGAGATATGCCATGTTCTTGGATTGGAAGAATCAGTATTGTGAAAATGACTATACTACTCAAATCAATCTACAGATTGAATGCAATCCCTATCAAATAAGCAATGGCATTTTTTACAGAACTAGAACAAAAACTCTTAAAATTTGTATGGAGACACAAAAGACCCTGAATAGCCAAAGCGGTCTTGAAGGAAAAAATGGAGCTGGAGGAATCAGGCTCTTGGACTTCAGACTATACAACAAAGCTACAGTAATCAAGACAATATGGTACTGGCACAAAAACAGAAATATAGATCAATAGAACAGGATAGAAAGCCCAGGGATAAAACCACGCACCTGTGGTCAACTAAAATATGACAAAGGAGGCAAGGATATACAATGGCGAAAAGACAGTCTCTCCAATAAGTGGTGCTGGGAAAACTGTACAGCTACATGTAAAAGAATGAAATTAGAACACTCCCTAACACCATACACAAAAATAAACTCAATATAGATTAGAGACCTAAATGTAAGACCGGACACTATAAAACTCTTAGAGGAAAGCATAGGAAGAACACTCTTTGACATAGATCACAGCAAGATCTTTTTTCATCCACCTCCTAGAATAATGGAAATAAAAACAAAAATAAACAAATGGGACCTAATGAAAGTTAAAAGTTTTTGCAAAGCAAAGGATACTACAAACAAGATGAAAAGACAGCCCTCAGAATGGGAGAAAATATTTGCAAATGAATCAATGGACAAAGGATTAATCTCCAAAATATATAAACAGCTTATTCAGCTCAATATTAAAAAAACAAACAACCCAATCCAAAAATGGGCAGAAGACCTAAATAGACATTTCTCCAAAGAAGACATACAGATGGCCAAGAAGCAGAGGAAAAGCTGCTCAACATCACTGATTATTAGGGAAATGCAAATCAAAACTACAATGAGGTATCACCTCCCACCAGTTAGAATGGGCATCATCAAAAAATCTACAAACAACAAATTCTGGAGAGGGTGTGGAGAAAAGGGAACCCTCTTGCACTGTTGGTGGAGATATAAATTGATACAACCACTATGGAGAACAGTATGGAGGTTCCTTAAAAAACTAAAAATGGAATTACCATATGACCCAGCAATCCCACTACTGGGCATATACCCAGAGAAAACCATAATTCAAAAAGACACATGCACCCCAATGTTCATTGCAACACTATTTACAATAGCCAGGACATGGAAGCAACCTAAATGCCCATCTACAGATGAAGGAGTAAAGAAGATGTGGTACATATATACAATGGAATATTACTCAACCATAAAAAGGAATGAAATTGGGTCATTTGTAGAGATATGGATGGATCTAGAGACTGTCATACAGAGTGAAGTAAGTCAGAAAGAGAAAAACAAATATGGTATATTAATGCATATATGTGGAACCTAGAAAAATGGTACAGATGAACTGGTTTGCAGGGCAGAAATTGAGACGCAGATGTGGAGAACAAACGTATGGACACCAAGAGGGGAAAGTGGTGGTGTTGGGGGGTGGTGGTGGGATGAATTGGGAGATTGGGATTGACATGTATACACTAATATGTATAAAATGGATAACTAATAAGAATCTGGTGTATAAAAAAATAAAAATTTTAAAAACCAAAAAAAACCCCAATAAATAAATAAATAAAGTAGAGCACATGTATTGAATGGGTACAGAGACAGTGTCTTGTATCTCAGTTACAGGCCTTTCCCTGAACCAATCAGCTGAAGCCAGGAACGTGGGTCAACTGGTATAATATGGCCACTTAAATCCTCCCCTTTAGCCAAGACACTTAAATGTTAATAGAGTCTCTTAGAAGGGGGTGGGGATGGGAAGCCCTGGCACAGCCTTGAGAAACAAGAGTATATTATTTGCTGGTGTGCCAGGCACCTGGACGATTTCCAAAGTGCCTAGGTGTTTAGCAGGGCAGGTGACCCCAATCCCTGACGACCTAGGCAAATCTCATCAAGTCTCTCAATTCTGAACTCTTCACTCCTGACAGCAGGTGTGCACTGGGGCTACGAGGAGACCAAGGCCTTCCTGACCATTCTCAGTGAGTCCCCATTCTCTGAGAAGCTTCGCACTTGTCACCAGAACAGCCAGGTGTACCGGGCCATTGCAGAGCGGCTGTGTGCACAGGGCTTCCTGCGGACCCTGGAGCAGTGTCGCTACAGATTCAAAAACCTCCTTCGAAGCTACCGAAAAGCCAAGAGCAGCCACCCACCTGGGACCTGCCCCTTCTATGAGGAGCTGGACTCGCTGATGAGGGCTCGGACTGCGGTTAGAGACATGGGGACCAGCAAGGAGGCAGTGGGTCTTCCTACTTCTGGGGAGAGTGGTACCCAGGTTGTCAACCAGGAGGCCTGGGATGAAATGGCAGGTGAAGATGCCATCAGATCTCCAACCCCAGGTCCTAAAACCCCAGACACTGGTAAGCTTGGAGTAATTAGATGTCCACAAAATCTGCAAGCATGCAGAGAGAGTGTGGAAACCAGGCACATTTCTTTTCTCTGAACTAAAAGAGAGAATGAAATTGAATAAGTTAAGGATTTGTGCTTCGCTGAGATTATCCAATCTCTAGCTTAGTGTAATCCCCTAAATAAGAAAAGCAGTCAGTCTAGATTTTACTTGGATTCATCTGGGAAGTTATAGAGTTTATTCAATCTCATATGACATAGGCCGTACTGAATGTACCAGGAGAAGAAAGTGTTCATTGTTCAGTAGTGGGATAGGGTAGCTGGCCAGGGAGACTGACAGCTGGCTGCTTGGGCTGGGGCTTACGGCTCCCTTGGTGGAGTTAGCATGTCCCAAACTCTGTTCCTAAGCTTTACAGGTCAGAAATGCCTGTGTGCGCTGAAACTTGATCAATTTCATGTTAGTCACATTTATAAGCTGTGAGATATAAAATATAAGTACAAATTCATGTTAGCCAAATTCACAAGACACAAGATCCATATGTATAAATAGACACTAACTAATGAATGCATTTCTGTCCATTCTTTCAGGTTTTGAGATGCGGCATGAGGATGAAGACCAGATTTCAGAGCAAGACATTTTTGAAGATTTGCCTGGAGCCTTATCAAAGTGTACTGCAGAGGATTGCTACCCTCATGATTGGGGGGAAGACAGTGAAAATGAAAACGAAGGTAAAGGGCAGTGGGGAAATCCATCCCAGGATCAGTGGGAAGAATGTTCTTCTGAAGAGGACCTAGAGAAACTCATCGATCATCAAGGCCTGTACCTTGCAGAGAAACCCTTCAAGTGTGACACGTGTGTGAAAAGGTTCAGCCGGAATTCACAGTTAATCGCCCACCAGCGGATACACACAGGTGAGAGGCCCTACAAATGCCCTGAATGTGGGAAAAGCTTTAGTGACCGCTCCAACTTCAATACCCATCAGAGAATCCACACTGGAGAGAAGCCCTACAAATGCCTTGAATGTGGGAAAAGCTTTAGTGACCACTCCAATCTCATCACCCACCAGAGAACGCACACGAGGGTGAAACCCTATAAATGTGGGGAATGTTGGGAAGGCTTCACCCAGAGCTCAAACCTTCTGAAACATCAGAGAATCCACTTGGGAGGAAATCCTGATCACTGTGGTGAGCCTGGGAAAAACTCTGGCCAGAGCCCATCCTTTAGTGCTCACTGGAGGAACTCAGCAGAGGAGACATCTCTGGAACAAACTCAGAGTGCCAGTAAGAACTTGAATTCTCCTGGAGTGCAAAGCACCAACTCAGGGGATAAACTTTATCAGTGTTCCGAATGTGGAAGAAGCTTCTCCAAGAGTTCTGCCCTCATCAGTCACCAAAGAATCCACACGGGAGAGAAACCATATGGATGTGCCGAATGTGGGAAAAGCTTCAGTAAGAGCTCCACTCTGGCCAACCACCAGCGAACCCACACTGGGGAGAAGCCGTATGAGTGTGTGGACTGTGGGAAATGCTTCGGGGAGCGTTCCAAGCTCATCACACACCAGAGGGTGCACACAGGAGAGAAGCCCTACAGATGCCTCGAGTGTGGGAAGTTCTTCCGTGACCGTTCCAACCTCATTACCCACCAGAGAATCCACACAGGAGAGAAACCTTATAAGTGCAGAGAGTGTGGGAAATGCTTTAACCAGAGCTCCAGTCTTATTATTCACCAGAGAATCCACACCGGGGAGAAACCCTACAAGTGTATGGAGTGTGGCAAAGATTTCAACAACAGCTCCCACTTCAGTGCCCACAGGAGAACCCATGCAGGAGGGAAGGCGTCATAGGAGACAAAAGAGAAAAACGTATATTTAAATCTCCCAAGATCCTAAGACGTATGCTAGAAAGAAACTGTCCCAATTTTTAAGATTAGCGTGTACCTGGGGAACTTACCTTGGTACAGTCCAGGTAATTCGGAAGTGAATTACAAATGCTAACGATCCAGATTTGAAGGCACTTTTCTTAAGTGTAGTGTGTTTTTTCTCCTGCAAAAAAACCCACACAATCCTCAGGCTGCCCTTATATTTACTGTTGTGTAAGAGCTTTATCAGTGTTTGAGCCAGACTGGTAACTGAGGGGATTAGAGGTAAATCAGTGATCCTGAGCAGTGATTCTAGACCTTTCTGTGCCTTTACACCGTCCACATGTACACACGCCCCATCAGTGTACGTTGGCAAATTCTCATACGTGGCCATTTTCCGTTGGGGCATAACCTCCCGGGAGAACTTTGAGACTCTCCGGTGATGGGGGCATAATTGAGAATCAGTGGCCTAGAGCAGCCACCATGAGCTTATCAAAGGGTAGAAACAACAGTGACATCATTACTAGATCATTATTAATAATAGCAAAAGTAGCCAGCATCTATCGAGCTCTTCGGCAGGCTCTGTGCTAAGCACTTTGTATACATCATCTCATTTACCCCTCACAGCAGCCCCAGGAGGTACTAATATTTTCCCCATTTCTCAGAAGAGAGAAGTGACTTGCTTGGGTCACACATCTGAAAATGGCAGAGGCAGGATTCAACCAGCTCTGTCTCTAGGGCCTGAGGTGCTTTCACTGCTTCACTGAATCCCCTTTCACATTGGGGCAGGTAACTCAGGTGCCAAAGCACTTTGTAGACCACATTTTCTGTTAAAATTCCCTATGAGTTCTGTTTTTAACAAATATGGACATTGAGAATCCCAGAAGATTGAAGGACTGGGGATGTTCACAGTTGGTAATGTGCTTTGAGCAAGGCTGAACTCATCAAAGCACTTGATGTGAATTTCCATCTTCACAATAATATGGGTGAGAGACAGAGGTGAGTTGAGATTGGGAACAATAATGTAGCCAAAGTGATGTTTCTTCCAATGAGATACAGTTTTGGCTAAGGAAATGGGGTTTTTAAGAATTTCCCTTATTCTCAGGGGGTCAGCCCTGCTTCCTGTTAGACTTGGCTGGATCATAGGTTGAACCTTAAGAAACCTGGGCTTGCTGGCCAGTGCTCACTCACCCTGATGTGTTGGCCCCCTGGCCCTTTCCCTCCAGGCACAGCAGAAGCTTTGCGCCAAGGCTGAGGCAGAAGTGGGGTGGAAGGAGTGGTGTGTGTGGAGTGCCGCGGAGGGGGCTTTGAAGGCTATTGCTTAATCCAGGTTCATGGTGCACTCTTACTCTGAGCCATCTTGGCCCAGACCTACCCAGTGCTGTCTAAATGTTGGCTGTAAAGACCTGCCTCCAGCTCCAACAGGCTCAATCAGAAAGGTTCACACAGGATGGTTTCCTAGTTCGCAGCGCTTTGGCCTCCAGGATTTCTCCTCAGGAGGGTTAAACAATGTTGGCCAAGGACTATGGTTTCCAAAGGATTTTAAAGGAGCATCCCTCTCCTGACATCTGCCTATGATACTGGGAATGCCGTTCATACCCTGGCTCGTTCATCAACTTGGGAAGTACTATTAGATAGTAGATGTGAGGGAACCTTGAAGAGTGGAACTCTGCATGTGAAGCAGTCAGTGGGGAGATTGGCGCTCCCACTGACGCTTATCACTCCTTAGTCCCTTCCTTGGCTTCCCAAGAACCTGCTTACCTCGGATCACTGCCTATCACCCCCTTCCCGGTTTACCTCTTCTGGCTCACCTTACCTCTGAGGAGCAGGGCCTGTGAGTGAGCCCTGGCTTTGAACCACCAGGTGTCAGTAACTGCAACAGTAGGATGGTGGGTAGGAAACCACCTGAGCCAAGAGGAAGGATCCTGGAGGAAGGGAAGGGAGGTCCAGGGAAAGACCAAGTGGTGTGAAATAGCATGGCTTCAGGGTGGGGCTGGGACCATAACTTCTTAGCTCTATTGGGGTTTGTAAATGGGAGATGAGGAGTGTTAGCTCAGATTAGAAGGGTGCGGGGGTGGGTCATGGAGGACCTGTGGCTGCTGAGGGGGACATGGTCAGATGCGCGGTGTTGAAACCTAATAGCTGAACAGAACCTGGCTACGCTGCAGTTAGGACAGCCTGTTGGGACACTGTTGCAATATTCCAGGTAAACGTGAGGGTCCGAACTAGAGCAGGAGTAACGTTGAAGAGGAGGGGATGATTCGAGAGGTTGCACAGGTAGAATTGAGGACAGCAGAGGAGAGCCAGGCTGCCTGGGTGGCTGGTGGAGCCTGCTGTCATTCAGAACTGGGATCACAGGAGGAGGTGGAGATAGGGCAGGAGGGCAGAAGATCAGAAGTTTAATTTGGGCCATTTTGGTTAGGGACATCCAAGAGACGATACACTACGAAGCAGGCATTTGGATATCTGGGCCGGAAGCTGGGGGGAGGTTAGGACTAGACAGTTATCTGTATGCTTGGGAGTTACCTTCATGTTCAAGTCACAGAAAGGCTGGGCCCGGGACAGAACTGGAGAAGCACCACGTGTAGAGGAAGATGCCCCTCAGAGGAGATCTAGACTACCCCCCAGTCCCACCACCTCCTGTGCACTCCAGCCAACTTTCGGACACTGCCTCAATCGCTGCTGACACCGGAATTGTCAATGTAGTTCTGAATTTCCTGGAACCTTCCCTGTAGAAGCCAAGCCGAGCTCTGTGTAGAAGTGAGATAATGGTCCTCTCCCCTCCCACGCGTCAGCCGTTCCCCTGCTCTTGGAAGTGTGCTGGTGTCTCATGTTCTCAAGTGAACAGTTTTGATGTTTATTACCTATTGGTCCTTTCTCGTAACTCAGGTTCAGCCATGAAATCGAGGGCATTGTGGGCCAGGAGAGAAAGTGGCCCAGGAGGACCTTCTCTCCTTGTGTACCTGACTCTTCCTTTGGAAGAAGTTCCCTTTCAGGTGGCTTCCATGTTTGGGGCCCGACCCATCACTCTGCCAGGGCACCCAGACATCCTCCAACAGGTCTTTGCTGCTCAAATAAACCGACATCTGGTTTGACACACCCCGAGCCTTGTTACTGTCAGTCTGCTCTTGGGAAGTAGATTCACTCTGCAGAATGGGTGGTTTCTCAGCCTGCTTGGCCACAGGTGAGACCCTGGTCATGGGAGACAGAAGCAGCACCTGCCTCCCTGGGAAGGTGTTTTGTGTGAGCTGCATCTCCTTCCTTGATTTCTGTACCCTCCACCCCAGGAAGGGCATTGGCTCCTTGGAGGTGACTAAAGGGTACCACCAAGACTCTCATTCCACAGACTCAGCAGGCAGCAGACCCTAAGGTAGTGGCAGAGAAAGGCGGGACCAGGCTGCTTTAGATACCTGTTTCTGTTCTTGCGCCTTGGCCCCAGCAGCTGAAGGCACGGTCCTGGCTGCCTCAGCTTTAACGTGTCCCCCAGCCCCCAGCCTGAAGGAGTGTCAGGCAGCTCGGTCCTCCTGTGCTGGAAAATGTAGCAGCCAGGTACCCTGGGTTCTCCCTGCCTCATCCTGTCTGGGGCCCGCAGTGGGGATGGCTCTCCACCTTCGGGCTCCCTTTAGTCAGTCTGTGGAGAAGAGTGATACCCTTTGGGGCCGGGGGTGCGGAGGCTTTGAAGTATGAATGCAGTGATGTCCGGGGTGCGTGTGGGTGGCGGGAGGTCTCGTCCCCCAGGCCGCCCTGGGTCTCTAGCCCAGCCTTGGGGCCCAGGCCTTCTCCATTCGCTCCGTTCACTCCATTCCATTTGCATGTTTACTGCTGTGTAGATGCTGATAACTTCCGGGTGGCCTGGTGGCCAGTCCTGCTCAGGCCCCTCCTGGGCCCTCCAGCCCCGTGTCCACCGGCTGCTGCCTCCGGCCTCTTGGTCCACCGCTCAGCACTGGCGTTCACGTGCACACTTGGGCTCACAGAAAGCCGCCTTCGCCCAGCAAGACGTGCACATCCAGACGTGGCCCCCCAGACACACGCTGTCCCTTCTAAGGGCATTTTCCAGTTGGGCTGTGGTTGCCCAGCGGCTGAGGAAGTCTTTTTCTGAACAGACTCAGAATTAATCAAGTGAAACAGCACCTGACCTCAATTTTGATCCCTTGGATGTCCCTTAGCCTCTGCCTCTTAGCAGCAAACGCCCATCTTAAGCCCCTGTCACCGCCTACAAGAGGTTAGTTCTGCCTGTAGTGGGAGGTCAGGAAGGCTTTGCCAGTGAGGTGGGGTTCAGGCTGGGCTTTGGGGTCGAGGATGACAGACGTTTGTCTTCTCCCCCTGCCCGTGGCTGGTTCTCTCTGCACACTCCCAACATCAGTATTACCACCACCTTATCTTTAGCACCACTTCCCGCCTCACTCTGGTTTTAGGCAAATCTGGAATTACTTCCAAATGCAGTTTATTTGGGTGTCGAGTTTCTCACCTCACTGTGACTTCCCCCAGCTAACCCTGTGGCAGAAAGATAACCTCATCTCCCTCTGGGGCCTCGATTCCCTGGTCCTTGTCATGAACCCCAGTGACCCCAGCCTATGCTGCTGGGAGGAAAGGCAGAGAGCTCAAGAGCCCCTCTTCTCAGTGTGCGGTCAGTTGTCCCACTTCTCAAGGCAGAGAGCTGCTTTGTCCTGGGAGCCACTAGGTTAAGTCAAGGCCAGAATCCAATGAGACCCTTTTGCCGAAACTCACTAGGGATCGATTTCCTAGTCCGGGCATGGACTCCGGGCATGGACTTCGCATGTGAAGATGGTTCTGATCTGGTCTGCCGTTACACTGTGCTGCTTTCTATAGTCACGTTTAGTTTTCACATTTTCATTGTAGGAAAATACCCCATAATCTTGCCATCCAGAGGGTGAGGGCCATGGGAGGGAAGATGAAGAAAACAGGTCTACTGCTAAGGCTGCTTCTGGATCAGCTTTATGCGTCCATCTGAGCTCAAGCAGGAGAGGAGCCGCGGGCAGGGGTTGACGGAGCTGTGGTCACTGGAATCTCTTGAGAGTCACTGGGGGTCAGGGAGCCCTACTTTGGCGCCAGACGACCAGTGCGACACAGAGGGCAAAGGGGTCTTCTCCCTCCTCCTGCACAGAACACAGCTTGGCTTCAGTGCTTTGTGGAATTCATAGACACCGAGTCGCTTCTGTGTAGTTAGAGGCGGTAGAGCCCAGCAGGAGGTGGGTCAAGGGGCTGCTCTGGAGGCGGTGGTGAGGAGCTCTGCATGCAGACTGCACCCAGGGTGCCAGGCCAGGAGCACCCTCTATGGACAGCACCCGGTAAGGGCTTGTTCAGGATCACCTACGAAGTCGCTAACCCAACCCCACTCCTTGAAGTTGCCCAGAAATAGTCAGAGGAGGTGAGGCTACCTTGGCTGAAGGTCACGCTAAACCCATCTGGCGTGTCTTGGTGGGGGGAAGAGAAAACACCGGTGTTATCTCAGGGACCTTTCTTGAGCAACTAATTTCTTAGACATTTGTGATTGATTTTCATTCCCTGTTAGTGACTATGGCATTAAAATGGATTAAATTTTGGCCACTAGGAGGTGCAGAGATTTAAGGTCCAAGCCTAAAAACAGAACAGGCTCTTTTAATTTTCCATTTGTGCATCAACCCCTGCCTTCATTTTTTTTTTTTTTTTTTTTTACGCGGGCCTCTCACTGTTGTGGCCTCTCCCGTTGCGGAGCACAGGCTCCAGGCGCGCAGGCTCAGCGGCCATGGCTCACGGGCCCAGCCGCTCCGCTGCATGTGGGAGCTTCCCGAACCGGGGCACGAACCCCTGTCCCCTGCATCGGCAGGCGGACTCTCAACCACTGCGCCACCAGGGAAGCCCCCTGCCTTCATTTTATTTGGCTTTGTTTTCACTTGCCGATCCTTTATTATTTTCTTCTTCCTGTGATATTATGTACATCTATTAAAACGAGTCAAATCCTATTTTGGGATGAAATGACCTGATAAATTAATAAATTATATTAATTGAACTGCAAACCACAAAAAAGAACTTGTCTTGGGTTCTTCTGGCATCTTGCTGGTTACACTAAAAGCATGGAGCAAAGGAGGAGGTGGGAAATCAGGGGGACACAATGAGACCGTCAGGGAGGATTGGGGCCCAAGATCTCACGCCCCTTGTGGTGGACTGCCATCTTTCACTGTTTTCTGTGGCTCTTCAGCCATGCGTGGATGTATGCAACGCAGGAGTCTGCTTTTTGTCCATAACAGATTGCTTCTTGGTCTGCTGGCCTTCTTCACACATCTACTTTGCTGTGTGCCCCAGGGTCTCTGTGCTGGGGAATCTGAGGTGTCTGGGACCTAAATAACATAAGGGTGATGATGGATGAAAAGAAAGGAAGGTGTTCCCAGAGGACTGAATCTTATCTGATTCCCAATTTGCTTCCTTGTTCAGGACCAGAGCTGACACACTTCATGCTTGAGAAAGAGGGAAGAGCTGGAGGGTCTTTAGGGGGGTTCTTTCCCCTCCTTCCTCCACCCATTCCACTTCTGGTAACGTCCAGAAGACATTGTAGTTTAAGGTTGAGGTTTCCTTTGTAAACTTTTACCCTTTCATCCTGAACGGGGTATAGGCAACCCTTTGCCTTTTAGACTCTGTTATCCTTGAATTCTGGTCGTGAATTAGAGAAAGAGAGTGATATTTCAGAGTTTGACGTGACTTTGATCAGAATCCACAGGAAACTGTTTCTTCCTGTAGGAGTCAGAATGTCAAGTGTAGGTTTAGTAGTGGTTGGAATGCACTGATGTCGTGTACATCTTGGGACAAAGATGAGACCTGGGAGAAAATGAGTCATGGTCTCCCTGGAGGAGAAGTTCTAGCTCTTGTTTACAGGTTTTCATGGAACTTCTTTTCAGCAGTTGCTCCAACAGTGACCAGAGCCACAGGGCTCGCCTTCCTGGAGACAGGACAGAGGCCATAGATAACTCATTGTCATTCTCTTGCCGTTAGCAGGGCCCAGAGATCAGTTACAAACGTTGGGGTCCACTAAGGCTGACAAGCCCACCGGGGCGGGGACAGGAACTCTTTTATTGATCTTGACAGAGAGCTGGCCAGGGCTGGCACGACTGAGAATGTACTACTAGGAGAGAAACCCTGCCTGAGGGGATGCCTGTGGGCTGGACCGGCTCTCTGTTGGCCTCACGTCCACAGGCTGCTGGGTGCTCCTGTTGCCAGAAGTTCTAGGCTGAACCAGGAATCGGACTGGCAGGGCACCTGGTCCCCAGCTAAGCAGTGGGAATCACCAGGTGAGGTCTGGGCATCCTTGCAGTTGAGGTCTGAAGAGGAGGCGTGTGGGATCCGATGGTTACAAGGCTCAAGCAGCTTGAGGAAGGAGCCAGGTCAAGGTCAAAGGAAGGACTGAGGGTGGAGGGAGCAAGTCGGAAAGGATGGTGGGTGTATGGGGAGGGCGGAGAAACAGAAAGGGAAGAGGGGCAAAGGGGCAGGCAGGGGAGGAGGCAACCAAGACTGGGAGAGAGGAGGGGTAAGAGGTAGAAGCGGGGGTGGGCTATCCTGGGTGTCCAGTGAGTGAGGTGGGGGATGGGCAGGCAGAACTGAACAGGGAGGAGCCGGAATTGCAGCAGGTGAGGGGCAGGGAAGCAGGGAAACGGGAGGCAGCTTCTTCATGGTTCCCAAGTTAGAAATGGAGGGCTGGGCTGCTTGGGTCAATAAGCTCTATCCTTCCCCTGTTCCATCCTCCTGTGATCCGGACTCCATAGTCACCGAGATCGAGCGCTCTCGGCTGCGCTGCCCTGTATGGTAGCCACCAGCTACACGTGCTGTTGAGCCCTCCACATGTGGCTAGTCTGAACTGAGATGTGTAATATATACACCAGATTTTGAGTACTTATGTGAAAAAATGCAGACTCTCTCAAAATTTTTAATTTTGGTTATATCTTGAAATGATATTTAGGATATATTGGGTTAAATAAAATATATTATTAAAATTAATTTCACCTGTTTCTTTTTGCTTTTATATATGGCTACTAGAAAAATTTAAAGTGCTCATGCAGCTTGCATTTATGGCTTGCGCTATATTTCTATTACACAGCATGGTTCTAGGG